GTGCTCCCTGGGACGGAGACGACCCGTCTGAAGGAGCCGCCCTCCGCGGGGGGAGGAGGAGGAGGAGGAGGAGGAGGAGGAGGAGAATGAGGGGGAGAAGGACAGGAGGATGAGGAGGACAGGGGAGAAGGGGGGAGGACGAGTAGGGCATACGAGAGAGGAGGGAGCTATGGAGGAGGGATGAGATGAGAGGGAGGAGGGATCAGGAGGATGAGGAGGAGGATGAGGAGGAGGAGATGGAGATGATGATGCTGATGCTGATGATGATGATGATGATGATGATGATGATGGTGACGATGATGATGCTGATGATGCTGATGAAGATGACGATTATGCTGCTGCTGCTGCTGCTGATGATGATGATGATGTTGCTGCTGCTGCTGATGATGATGATGATTATGATGATGGAGGTGCTGTTGATGATGCTGCTGTTGATGTTCATGATGTTGATGCTGCTGATGTCAATGATGATAGTGATGCCGATGATGATGATGATGCTGATGATGATGATGCTGATGATGGGTGTATTCAGTACGGGAAGCAGGCACTGTAGTTGAGCATCGCCGTATGGCCACTGCCACTTGTGCTCAAGCTCTGAGTCAGGGCGCCCCCACATCCTTGTGATGCAAGCCGCCATTCGCCAGCTTGTCGGACGGATCGCTGAGGGGGCCTCGACTGGCCTCGTCGTGTGGGCTGGGCGGCCGACTTGCCCGGCGTGTGAGTGCTCGCCAGTCTTGAAGTGTCCGCCGCTGACCTGCACGACCGGTGACGTTGCCCACATCTCGCCAGTGACGCCGCTCACGGTTGCGGTCATCTGCGCCTGCATCGCCCTGCTTGCCTTCTTCGCGGGCCGGCTGACGCGCTTGGGAGCTAAGACCGTGCGGTACGCCGACGACCTGGACGCCACTGCTCGGGTCCAGGTAGCTCAGTACAAGATCAAGGCTTTGGCACAATGATGCTGGCAGCTGCAGGCCAGCACCCGCTCACCGCGTCTCACGACCTGCAGGTGGGCGACTTCTGTGTTGTGCGCTACAACGTTCCAGGTGGGGCCCTGTACCACGAGCGGCTGGTCCACTACCTGCCGCTGGGTGCCGGGCTGACCGTGTCCATCACCACGCCCGACGGCGACGAGTACGAGGAGGTGTGGGGCCTGCCCGACATCATCGAGTGGGAGCCGCTGCCGAATCGGCAGCCAGGTGGCGTGCTGATGGGTCGGCCAGGAGCGCGATACTATCGGTTCAGAGCTGGTGCGATGCCGACTGCTGCGAGCCTCACGGCGTCCGCTGCGGCTGCTGCTGGACGCCTGGGCCAGCCTGCGCCGGGCGGGCCCTTGGTGCCGGCCCTCGGCGGGCGCCTCGTCGGGCCGCCGGCGGGGGGTGCCGCGCCCGGCGCGCTCGAAGCCGGGGGCGCCGCTGCCCCGCTTGGCGGAGCACCGGGCGCGCCGGCGGCGGCCGCTGCAGCTGCGCCGGGCGGAGTGGCCCCGGCGGCGGGGCTCGGCGGCCTGGTGGCGGCGCTCGGCGGCCCAGCGGCAGGAGCACCAGCCGGCGTGCTGGTTCCAGGCCCGCTGCCCGCCCCCGCTGCGGCCGGCGCCGCGGCGGCTGCGGCTCCAGGAGCCGACGGAGTGCTCGCCGCCGCTGCCGCCGGCGCCCCAGGGGCGGCCGCCGCCCCTGTGCCCGCGGACGCGGGCGCCGCCGCAGCCGCCGCGGGCCCGCCCGCTGCTGCGGGAGGCGCGCCCGCGGGTGCTGCGGGCGCTGGCGGCCACGTCCAGGACGCGAGGGTGCTCCCGGTGGTGTGCGACGCCATGGGCAACCGTCGGCGGGAGTTCCGCGAGGCGGTGCTGGCCTGCCGGGAGGACCAGTGGGCGGGGTGGCCCGTGCGCGGACCTCGCACCGCGCTCTGGGTCCTGCGGTACATCATCGAGCACGGCGGGACGCCGACCGGGATGCACTCTCGGTGGCGCAGTGAGGCCCGCCTCCAGGAGCACGAGCCGGGGGTGCAGGAGCATGAGCGCTCGTGCCAGGCGCTGGAGGAGCTCATCTGCTACGACCAGTGTAATGGTGCGAATCTGGCGGCCGTGGAGCTGCTGGTGCGGAACATCCAGGTGCAGCAGGGGAGGTACCGCGACAGGAGCGCTGGCGGCTCAGGAGGCGGCGGCCCAGACAGCGTCGACACGCACCTGTGCATGGGCAGCGAGCTGACCAGAGGAGGAGTGTGTGTGTGTGTGTGCCCTCTCCTCCAGGAGTGGGCCAGCGCCCAGCTGGCCAAGGAGCAGGCGCTGCTCAAGGAGCGGCGCAAGGCCCGGGGGGAGAGGGAGCTTGCCAAGAAAGGGAACAACAAGAATAACAAGAAGGATGAGGAGGGGTGATGTTCCCCTCGGCCGCGCCGGTTCCAGGCGGCTGGCGCGGCCCCCTGACTGAGACGCCTGTGGACCGTGGTGACTCTACCGGTCCGCCGAACAGAGAGGTTTTTGACATGCTGGGGCAGAGTGCCCGCCAGCGCGACATTTTTCCGCTGCCCCCGCTGTGCCGAGATCACGTCGGCGCGGCGGGCCGCTAGGACCTGTCCCGGGTCACCAGGCGGCGTGGGAAGGCTGCCAAGCACATCCTCGATTGGGGCGACGACTGCATCGACGCCCTGAACGACTTGTACGGCCACCAGGATCGGCCGGCGGCCCCCGCCAACGCTGGTCAGCGACACGCAGTGGAGCATGTCGAGTCGCGAGTGCGCGCGCTGGGCAAGCCCCCACCAGAGGCAGGCTTCCGCGAGGGAGCCCTCCGTGAGCTCCTCGCGGGGACGGGGATCTACCAGACGGGTGATCTCTCCTCCCGACGGCCGTATGTCAAGGAGTCCATTTCCTGGCCCTCGCCCGACGTGCAGCCCGCCCCGCTGTGCGCTTGCCTGGGTGAGGCCGAGTCTGAGTGGCTGGGCCGCTGGCAAAGCACCTTGTTCAGGCCAGATCAACCTACATCCGCAGAACGTGCTGAGTTCTGCCCGCGCGGACCTTTTTTTGATCCCAGTCTCTTCAGTAAGCCTCTGCTTTGCGCCGATTTTGTCGCCAAGTTGCTGGCCCGCGGCATGGTGGAGCTGAGGGGGGACTGTGACGCGGCCACCGTGGGCTGCTTCTTCGTCGCGAAGAAGAACAACAAGTTGAGAGTGATATTTGATACGAGGTATGCAAATTTATTTTTCGGGCGACCAGCTCGGACCGCTTTGCCGACGGCTACGGCGCTTGCGGCTTTCGAGAACCCAGGGCACGACACCTACCTTGCCTCGGGCGACATCGATAATGCCTTTTACAGGTTGCGGCTGCCCGACGGCCTGTCGTCCTACTTCAGGCTGCCTGCCCTGGACGCCAGCCTGCTCGGGATCACGCGCCTGGGCGGGGCGCGGCTCGCGCGAGGGGCGCGGGTGCAGCCTTGCGTCTGCGTGCTGCCGATGGGTTGGAGCCACGCGCTGGCCCTCTGTCAGGGCGTGCTGCGGCGGGCCCTGGACTCCGCGGGGTTCACAGAGGGCCAGTGCATCGAGGACGGGAAGGCCGGGGTCGTGGTCGACGAGGAGGGCGCCCTGGCGGTCGCCGGCTACGTCGACAACTACGCTGCCCTGGGTCGCTCACCGGCCATCGTCGACCGGGCCGCCCTCGCCGTCACGCGCGTGCTGGCGGATAAGGGGCTGCTCACGCACGATGAGGAGCCGGCCGCCCGCGATGCCACCTTCGTAGGCTTAGAGCTGAAGAGAGGACGTGATCTTTCGATTAAGGCCAGGAGCATTTGGAGGCTTCGTTTTGGGATCGACGCCCTGCTCAGGAAGGGGTTCTGTTCGGGAGACGCTCTCAGAATCATCATCGGTCACTTTACCTGGGCTGGGTTGATTCGTCGTGAAGTCCTCTCTTTGCTCAACTCATGCTACCAGTTTGCAGAGCGGATCGGGCAGCGACAGGCCCGACTGTGGAGATCAGTGCGGCGCGAGCTCTGGCGAGCTCGCTGTATCTTACCGTTGCTCAGCGTTGACCTCAGCGCCGAGTGGTGGCCAGAGGTAGCCGCGTCAGATGCTTCGTTGTTTGGTCTTGGAGTCACTGTCCGAAGAGCTCCCATCCAGCTGGTATCCTCTATTGGCCGATGCAGTGAGAGATGGCGCTTTCGCGTTGACGGGGCCCAGCGGGCTCGCGAACATGCCCTTCGTCAGGCTCCTGTGGACTCCATCAATGACCCCGACAAGGCCCTTGAGAACCTGCTGGTCGACAACCCCGTGGTCTTCGACGAGGTCCCCATGGGTTTCCTGAAGTCAGACACCTGGAAAGTCGTTCATGCCTCGAAGGTCGCTGGGTCCACGGACATCCTAGAGCTCGAGGGGGGGGCGCTCCTAATGGCTATTCGTCACGCGCTCAGAAACACTGGGGCTCTTGGGAGGAAGATCCTGTTCATAGTGGGCAACCTACCATTGGCCCTAGCGGCCACGAAGGGGCGGGCAAACTCTCGATACCTCCGACACGTGCTTCAGAAGATAGCTGCTCTTTCACTGACTACAGGGTGCAGGATAGTTGTGCGGTGGGTCCCATCTGAACTCAATCCTGCTGACAATCCGTCTCGAGGCGATCACGGTTTTTTCACTACTCCATATCACGTGCACCTTGCCCGGCCGCATGGCTGGGCGCCGGCGGCCATCGGCGGCGCAGGCCGCCGTCGAGCGGGCGAGGAACGCCCAGCAGGTGGCCGCCTCCACGGTGCAGACCTTCGGCCTCTCGGTCCTCGAGTCCGCAGCGATCCGCCCGAACACGCAGAGGCAGTGCCAGGACCGCCTGGCGACGCTGGTCCTCTTCTGCCGGACGTGCCACCTGGACTGGGACAGCTGGGAGACGCTGGACAATGCGGTCACCGCGCTGCTGAACCATCAGTTCCTGGACGGCAAGTGCTCGGACCTGGGGACGCAGCTGATCGCGGCGCTGGCGCGCGTCTACCCGAGGCTGGCTCGGCGCAGCGGGCTGTACCTGCCGCGCGCTTGCCGCGCGGCCGGGGCCTGGAAGCGTCGGGCACCCGGGCGCTCGAGGCTGCCGATGCCGAAGACTGGCGCGGCGGCGATCGCCGGGGTGATGCTGTTCCTCGGCCAGCGCCGAATGGCCATCTACACCATGCTGACCTTCATCTGCTACCTCAGGCCGCTGGAGGGGATTGCGCTGCTGGGCAGGCACCTGGTCGCCCCGGTGTCGGCGGCAGGCGCGAGCTACGCGAGCTGGGGGCTGCTTCTCCGCGACTTCGAGCTCGGCCAGCCGTCCAAGACCGGCACCTCGGACGACGCGGTGCTCGTCGACCAGGACAGCTGGATCCTGCCAGCGCTGGCCGGGCTCCAGGCGGCGACGCACGCCGACGCCTCGCTGTGGGACTTCGGCGCGACGGAGTTCAGGATGAGGTTCAATGCGGCCGCGGACCTGCTGGGGCTGGGGCAGCTTGCCCCGCATCCCTACTCGCTCCGGCACGGCGGGGCGTCAGACGACCTTCTGGCCGGCCGCCGAAGCCTGGAGCAGGTGCGGGCGCGAGGCCGGTGGGTGTCTGCGTCGAGCCTGCGCCGATGCACCAAGGCCGCGCGCCTGCTGCGGGAGCTGCAGGAGGTCCACAGCGACATCTTCGGCTTCGGGAACTTTGTGATGACTCACTTCACGGGACTCGTCGAGCACGGGCTGACTGGCCCGCTTTTCGACCAGGTCCCGGCGAGCGTGAGGAGCCTGTTGCTTGCGGGCCATAGCGGCGGGGCCACGTCCGCCGCCGGCCGCGGGCGAAAGCGGCGGCCAGCGTGACTCACCTGGTCCACGGCGGGGACGTGGGCGCCCACCTCGGCAAGAGGTTCGCTGCGAGCCTGGGCCGGGCAGTGCGCTTGCGGTCGCTGCTGTTCCTCGAGCTCTTCGGGGGCTGTGGCCGCGTCGCGGCCAGCGCGCAGGCCATGGGCTATGCCGCGCTCAGCCTGGACATCAACGGCTCACCTCTTGAGAACCATCTCACCCCGACCTTCCTCAACAGGATCCTGGGCTGGATCGCAAGCGGGGCCATCGCCGGGATCTGGCTCAGTGCGCCCTGCAGCGCCTGGACCCGTGCGCTTCGGGTCCCGCTGCGAACTGCTGAGTGCCCTGACGGGCGGCCTGACCTTTCGCCTGATCTTTTTAGCAAGCTCGATATAGGAAATAAGTCATTCCACTTTTCCCTTCACGTGATCCGCGCATGCCTCAGACACAACGTAGGCGTCATGATTGAGAATCCCCAGACTAGCTTGATTTGGTCCTCGCCTCACTTTCAGAAGCTCCTCAGTTTACAAAGCAGCACTTCTGTAATATGTCACGTGTGCCAATTCGGCGCGCCCTGGAGGAAAGCTACTCGAGTGCAAGCCTGGGCCGTCGGAGAATTGTGGGAGCTGTCGAAAAAATGCGGCGGCCCCCGAGGCATTTGCAGCAGGACTCTCCGGCCCCGCCTCGAGCTCAGTGGGCGGGCGCCAGGCGGGAAGCATTGGACAGCCATTGCCGCCGCCTGCCCCGCTGCCTTTGCCAAAGCTGCCGCTGCCATACTCGTGCGCACGTGTGAAAGCAAGCGCTCCCTCGCTCTCTCTGACAGAATGGGAGGGTAGCCCTGATTGTTTTTTCGGCCCCAGGCCAAGTTCGCGTTCGGGTTGCGGATGCGAGGCTCGTTCATCTGTCCAGTGGCTCGCCTTGTTGTCGCGAGTTCGCCGCCGTGCGCTGCTCCTCACAAATGCATCATCTCTCTTGGCGACGAGGGTCGGAAGAGGCCCTGCTGGGTGTATTCAGTACGGGAAGCAGGCACTGTAGTTGAGCATCGCCGTATGGCCACTGCCACTTGTGCTCAAGCTCTCCCTCCCTCCCTTTTTCTCCCCCCACGAGCTTGAGTGTGGCTTTAATGGCCTGATGCGAGGCTCGTTCATCTGTCCAGTGGCTCGCCTTGTTGTCGCGAGTTCGCCGCCGTGCGCTGCTCCTCGCAAATGCATCATCTCTCTTGGCGACGAGGGTCGGAAGAGGCCCTGCTGATGATGATGATGATGCTAATGATGATGATTGTCGGCGATGCTGATGCTGCTGCTGACGATGATGCTGCGTTTTTTTCCTGAAGATAGTACGGACGTTTGTGCGGACGATGGTGATGCTGATGATGCGGATGATGATGCTGATGGGGATGCTGATGGGGATGCTGATGATGATGGCAGTGATGATCAGGGTAGGGATGCTGATGCTGCTGATGATGATGAGGATGCTAATGCTGATGATGATGCTGATGATGATTATGATGCTGATTCTGCTGCTGATGATACTACTTCTGATGATGATGATGATGCTGCTGATGCTTCTGCTGATAATGATGATGTGGATTATGATGATGTTGGTGACGATGATGCTGATTCTGACGATGCTGATGATGATGATGCTGCTTATGATGCCGACGACGATGATGCTGATGATGATGACGATGATTATGGTGACGATGACGATGCTGAGGATGTCGATGATGCTGCTGATGATGGTGATGCTGCTGCTTTTGATGATGATGATGACGCTAATGCTGATGACTCTGACGATGAGGATGACGATGCTGATGCTGATTATGATGATGCTACTGCTGCTGATGATGCTGATGCTAACTATGCTGATGCTGAGGACGACGATGCTGACGATGATAATGCTGATGATGCTACTGATGATGATTATGGTGATGATTGTGATGATGATGATGGAGACGATGATGCTGATGCTGATGATACTGCTGATGATGATGCTGTTGCTGCTCATGCTGATGCTGCTCTTGGTGATGCTGATACCGATGACGACGATGATGACGATATGGATGATGCTGTTGATGATGCTGCTTATGATGCTGATGATGCTGATGCTTATTCTGCTGAAGCTGCTGATGATGACGGTAACGCTGATGACAATGATAGTGATGATGATGATTGTGATACTTATGTTGATGCTGATGGTGATATTTTTGCTGACCATGGTGCTGATGATTATGATGGTGATTATTATGCTGATGCTGATGATGATAATGGTGATGATGCTGATGCTGATGATGATGCGGATGAGGATGATGATGATGGTGATGATGATGATGATGGCGATGATGATGATGATGATGATGATGATGATGATGATGATGATGATGTTGATGATGATGATGATGCGGGTGACGATGCTGATGATTATGCTGCTGATGGTGATGTTGATGCTGATGCTGACGCTGATACTGATGTTGATAAGGATGATGCTGATTATGATGACGATTCTGCTGCTGGTGCTGCTGCTGCTGCTGATGATGATGATGATGATGAGGATGATGGTAATAATGATGACGATGCCGATGCCGATGCTGATGTTGTCCATCATGATCTGGCTGCTGCTGCTGATGATGTTTATGATGATGATGGTGGTGGTGATGATGTTGTTACTGCTGCTGCTGATGATGATGGTGGTGCTGATGAGTCTGTTAATTATGCTGATGATGCTGCTGTTGATGGCGATATTGACGAGGATGATTATGACGTGGCCGATGATGTTGATGACAGGAACGCTGAGGATGCTGCTGCTGAGGATGGGGATGATGGTGATGATGAGGAACCTGGTGATCAGCATGATGTTGACGAGTTGGATGAGGAAGAGGACGAGTAGGGGAATGACGATGATAACGTTGGATGAGGCGAATGTTGATGAGTAGGGGAATGACGATGAGTAGGATGAGGCGAATTTTGATATGTAGGAGGTGAAGGACGAGGAAGCAGAGGAGGAGGAGGATGAGGATGAGGGAGGATTAGTATGTTGTTTGCCGAGGGCTACCGCAGGCCATGCTCTGCGCACTCCCCGAAGGTGGGGGAACTCAGCGGCAGAATGCAGGAAGAGTGCTGATGGTCAGAATGCCCACGGGACAAACGCCGCCCTGGCGAGCAGGCGGCTGCGACACTTCGTGGGCTCGGGTCCAGATCCTCCAGACGCGTCATGAGCAACACCTTCAGAGGCCCACGCGGGCTTCCTTGCCCAGGCCCCCAGGCGGCGTCCCGGGCGCCGCGCCCCGCGCGCTGGGGAAGGCATGCGGGGAGGAGGGATCCCAGCGCGGGCCCAAGAAGTCTGCGCGGACCTCTGACATCGATGAGTACGCGATTGCCTGGTCCTCAGACGCCGCGCGGGCTTGCAGTGACGAACTGCTGCGAGCCAGAATCTCAGCGCGCGGCGACGCCATCATTGCCGAGGCTCGCAGGCCATGGGACGACTGCATCCGCCAATTTAGCCTGGCCGCTCGCACTGGCCGCGTTGAGTCGCGCACCAGGGCTGGACCTAAACTGTGTGTTTGGCGATTTCGTAGGCCGTTTTCGTTTCGATTTCATTTTGCGGTAAAGGCGAATCGAAGACAAAACGAGGGAAAACAAAAACAAAACGAACACGAAAAACACCGTTTAGGTTCAGCCCTGTCGCGCACGCCCATATTCCTCCTCGTGTGAGAGAGCGCGTCGCTCGCTGGAGGCGGCTGCCACGAACGACTGGCGTCATGCACCCTGCTGCATGCCTAGGAAAACACAATCGCCCAAGAGCTTTTCCGGACGTTCCGAGAGCCATCCAGAACGGTTTGGATCGGCCGCGGCGCCCAACACATCCTCCAGACCCGCCGTCTCATAGAGATTCCCGAATGATCTCAGTTGCTTTTGGCCTCTTCCTGTCATCGCCTTACGGTGTCGGTCTTGGATTCTGGAAGCTGCTTCCAATCACTGCACGATGCGGCTCCCAGGCTCGCACAAAACCCAAGCATGCGCTTCGCTGCTTCGGCCGAGCGCGTGCAGAGCCGCGCGAGGCGGCCCCTGGGGGCATTCCGGCGCGAGCGGCGCACGCCGCTGCTGCCGCGGAGCCGCGGCCGCGCGCGCCCTGGCCGACGGAGCCAGCCAGTCGGTTGGAGTTGTGCCTGGACGACACGTCGGCTGCAGTGCGCGGCTGCTGCGCGCACCGCCGCTGAGGCCCCGGAGCCACCGCGTGCTCCGTGGGCACCTCGGCGCCGAGCTGCACGGCCCCCGGGCCTGGCGCCGGGAGCAGGCCGAGCGGGCCAGAGGCGGAACGGCGCCTGCGACGGAGACCCACATCCAGAGTGGGGTTCTCGTTTCTCGCGACACCCACGCGCAGGTAATTACCCCTGCCTTCACCTCATCCTCATCCTCACCTTCATCACCAATCACATCATCGTCACACACCAACACCATCATCATGATCACCATCACCATCACCATCACCATCACCATCACCATCACCATCATCGTCATCATCATCATCATCATCATCGTCCTCAGCATCATCATAATCAGCATCATCATCAGCAGCATCATCATCATGACCATCACCATCATCATCGTCATCATCAGCATCAGCATCAGCATCATCATCACCACCATCGCTATCATCATCAGCTTCATCATCATCATCATCATCATCATCATCATCATCATCATCATCATCTTCATCTTCATCTTCATCTTCATCATCGTCATCATCATCATCATCATCATCATCATCATCATAATCATCACTATTATCATCGTCAGAATCATTACAATTATCACCAGCATCAACATCAGCATCATCATCAGCATCACCACCACAATCATCATCTTCATCACCATCATCAGGCCATCACCACTTCGTCATCATCATCAGCACCATCAGCAAACTCCTCATCACCAATATTTCCAGTATCGTAATCATCAGCAGCATCATCACCGCCACAATCACCAGTATCCTTATCATCAGCATCAGCATCAGCTTCAGCATCAGCATCAGCATCATCATCATCATGATCAGCAGCAGCAGCAGCGGCGTCGGCAGCACACATACATTCCCAGTACCACATGCACACACAGCACCTTCGACATCATGCACGCACAATTTTTCAACACTCGCAACACTCGCGCATCAACGTCACGCACTCAAGCGCAGCCCACTCCGCACACTCACACACACTCACTCACAACATTCTCAGGATCTCTCGACTGGGTCCTCGTCTGTGAGTGAACTGCAAAAATGTCGAGCGGGCGCCCACCTCCTGTATGGCCCCCACTTCATGATAGTACTCCGATGCGGTCATCGGCATAATGTCAGTTTGTGACTAACAAATGATTGACCCCCCTGGGGCTGATGAATAGACCCCGCTGGGGGCGAAACACCTTTTTTTAATTACGCGCGCCAGGGGGTCGTCGCGGGCGCCGTCGAGGGGATCGTGTACCCCCCTGCAGCGCAGCCTCTAAACGATAGCCTGTCGCATAGAACCAGTTCGAGGGATCGTATACATCCGACGAGAAGTTTTCCCTTTCTCAGACTACTGACGTGCCACGGTCGTCGTCGTCGTCGTCGTCGTCGTCGTCCTCGTCGTCGTCGTCTTCGTCGTCGTTGTCGTCGTCGATTTTAGCTGGCATACGCAGCACCCTCGCCCCCCCCGTCCCATGGAGCATCCGCAGTGTGTCGTCGTCCGCTGTCGCCGTCGCCGTCGCCGTCGCCGTCGCCGTCGTCGTCGACGTCGCCGCCGCCGCCGTCATCGTTGTCGTCCAAGACGACGGCGACGAGGGAGGGGCCAAGACGGGAGAGATCGTCGCTCACTTGCGCTTCAGAGCTTTTTGCTATCTCCGTCTTGGTCTACGCCGGCAAGCATTGGATCTGCGCCAGCAGTAACAAACAAACCGAGCAAATGGCGAAACTTTGGCACACGAGGGAGACCGAGGGAGAGGGCAGGTGCAACCAGATTAGGCCTCTGGGAGGCTTCTTGGGGGAGAAGAATGAAAATCTGGATCTTCAGGAGCCTAGGAGGCCAGCCTATTTTTGGTCACGCGCCTTCGCTCGGCACGTCACAATAGTGGGGCGGGAGGGCGCAAGCGAGATTACATACCATGGAAAGGGGTGCTTGACCAGCTCCATTAAATTCATGCGTCTTCGTAGGGCACGAAAGCGGTACCACTTTACCCGTGTCCTATTTGTACAGCCTCGACTATCCTCCTCCTCCTCCTCCTCCTCCTCCTCCTTCTCCCTTCTCCCTTGCCTCCCCCCCCACCTCCTCCCTTGCCGCTCCAAAGGGGGCCCTGCAAGAGCTAGTGCGTGACACAGCCAGTCAGGATCACACCAGGCATACGATCTGCAGATGATCTGGTGACCGTGCTTTGTCGCAAATTTCGTGTGTGTGTGGGGGGGGGGACAGGAAAGCCCTCCCTCCTCCCTCCCCGTCGCGTGGATCCTCGTGAGGTCCTTTGCGCCACCGGCTAGCCCTGCTGCTCGAGCACGCAGCCTTGCGAAGCCGAGCGTCGCACCATCACCCCGTCGCGCGGGCGTGGGGCGCGCCCCCTGTGGGAGGCCCGCGGGGGGGCGCGGGGGCGGCGGCAGGCCGAGCTGGCTGCCGCCACCGTCGAGGCCGAGGGCCAGCTCCGCGCGCTGCTCACGGGCGGCGAGGAGCGCCCCCCGGGCCGTCGTCGTCGGGGCGAGGAGGGGGAGGCTCGATGGAGGAGGAGGGCGGCTGGAGGAGGAGGGGGAGGGCGGATGGAGGAGGGGGAGGGCGGAGGAGGAGGAGGGCGGAGGAGGAGGCCTGAAGGAGGAGGAGGGCGGATGGAGGAGGAGGGGGAGGGCGGACGAGGATGAGGATGAGGATCAGGATGATAACGAGGATGATGCAGATGTTGACGTTGCTGTTGCTGTAGCTGTTGTTGTTGTTGTTGTTGATTATGATGATGATTGTGGTGGTGGTGATGCTGTTGAGGATGAGGATGCTGCTGATGATGATGACGATGACGAGGATGCTGCTGATGATGCTAATGATGATGATGATGATGCTGACGATGACGATGATGATGATGATGATGATGATGATGATGATGATGGTGGTGATGATGATGATGATGATGACGATGATGATGATGGTTCTGATGATGATGATGATGCTGGTGGTGGTGGTGGTGATGATGGCGACGATGACGATGACGGTAGTGGCGGTGGTGATGATGGTGATGATGCTGCTGCTGCTGATTATGATGCTGATGCTGATGACGATGATGATGATGATGATGATGTTGATGATGATGGCACTGTTGACGATGATGGGGAAAGGATGTGCTTCTCCAAGCACAATTCGTTTTTCATCTGTTCTTTTCCCTCCAGCTTCTGCAAAGATCTCGTCCTTCCGATTCTCACTTCTCTCCATTCTTACTCCTACTCCTTCTCCTATCCTCCTCCTCCTTTCCTTTCCTCCTCCTTGTTGCAAAACAATAACGTCACTGCGTAGTGTTTGGCGCCCTCGGTGCAACGAACCGCTGTATAGGTTTGGTTGTTCGGGTATTTTGGGTCTGGGAAGTAACGACACACATTTTTTTTTTGACTGCTCAAGTGCTCCCCGCGGCCTTCCCCCCAGCACATCCCCCTTCTCCCCCTTCATCCTTTCCCCTCTTTCTCCTTCTCCTTTCCTCGTTCTGGTTGCAAAGCAAGAACATCAAGACCATACACAGTGGTTGGCGTCCTCGGTGCCACGACACATTCTTTTGTTTGTTTTTGTTGTTGTTGTTGTGTCTGTTGCATGAAGAAATTTATGAATAAGATGTTAGGTCTGGGCAGCAAGGGCTTACAGTGTATGTGTATTTCCAACTGTTTAGTTACGTGGTTTTTGAGGCTCTGCAAGAGAAGGAGGATGTGGTGCGTGTGTGTGTGTGTGTGTGTGTGTGTGTGTGTGAGGCCGTGTGTGTGTGTGTGTGTGTGTGTGTGTGTGTGTGTGTGTGTGTGTGTGTGTGTGTGTGTGTGTGTGTGTGTGTGTGTGTGTGGGGGGACACTTGAGCTTCCAAAGCGCCAAAAGCCCAATACGCAAAGTATACACAGTGTTGCTTACGTGCTTCGCAATCAAAAATACCCACACAACCAAACACACACACAGCGTGTTGTGGCACCCAGGGCACCAAACACTGTTTGTTCTTGATGTTCTTGCTTTGTAGCAATGACGAGGAAAGGAAAGGAGAAGGAAGGGGAAGGTTGCAGGGAGAGAAGGAGGAGGTGCTGGGGGGGGAGGCTGCGGGGAGCACTTGAGCTTCCCAAACCAAAAATACCAAACAGACCAAACATACACAGTGTTCCTTTGCTTCCCAGACCAACAAATACAAACCCAAACCAAACATACACAGCGTCTCTTGGCACAGAGGGCGCCAAACACCGTTTGGATTGGCCACGAGAAGGAGGACAGGAAAGGATGAGGAGGAAAGGAGAAGGAGGATACATACACATGGTAGAGGGAACGGAGCATCAGGAGGGCGAGCTGTGTTGGGAGAGGCAGGAGGGGGAAGAGAAGACGAGTCGGAGGGAGATGAGGATGACAAAGATTCAAGATGGGATGTCGGATCTTTTGGGGAACTATATAAATACACAAGGAGGGGGAAGAGAAGGTGAGTCAGAGGGAGACGAGGAGGACAACGATTCAAGGTGGGATGCCGGATCTTTTGGGGAGCCATGCACAAATGCAGACCAAAGACAGCGCACTCTGAAGGAGCACGCTGCCTGGGGCCCACGCTGGCTGGCACCATCCGGGCCCTTTTTTCTCAGGGGGAGGAGGAGGAGGAGGAGGAGGAGGGAGGAGGAGGAGAGGAGGAGGAGGAGAGGAGGGGAGGAGGAGGAGGGAGGAGGAGGAGGAGGAGGAGGAGGAGGAGGAGGAGGAGAGGAGGAGGAGGAGAGGAGGAGGAGGAGGAGGAGGAGAGGAGGAGGAGGAGGAGGAGGAGGAGGAGAGGAGGAGGAGGAGGGAGGAGGAGGGAGGAGCCTCACACGCCGCCGTTCCGAGGCCCAGGGCCGCCAGAAAAGGGCCCCTGCTCCCTCCGTCCCTGCCCGCCGACGACGGCGGCGACGGCGGCGACGGCGGCGGACGTCGACGGCGACGCGCCGAGGAGCTCTCCCAGGGCTCGGTGCGAGAGGCGTCCGCGCGCCTCCCGGAGACCAGCTCGCTGCGCGTGCTGGCGGACGCCGTGTGCGAGGCGGGTCGGAGGAGAGGGAGGGAGGAGAGGGAGGGAGGGAGGGAGGGAGGGAGGAGAGGGAGGGGGGGAGGAGGGGCAGGGAGGGTTGGCGGAGAGGGAGGGAGGGAGGGAGGGAGGGTTGGAGGAGAGGAGAGGGAGGGAGGGAGGGAGTGAGAGAGGAGAGGGAGGGTTGGAGGAGAGGAGAGGGAGGGAGGGAGGGAGTGAGAGAGGAGAGGGAGGGAGGGAGGGAGGGAGGGACGTCTCGGCTGAAAGCCAGCGCTGCTCTTACCTCTTTTGCGCTGCCCATTCTGGTCTCTGCAGAGGTCGTGGTCTCTTAGCCGCGAGAGCTCTAAAGCTAGTGACCTCCCCACCTCCCCCTCCGCCTCCTGCTCACGCCTGCCTGCTTCCCTGCCTCCCTCGAGCGCGCGCGGTGGAGTTGTGCCAAGGTGAGTGCCATGATGCTTGCGTCCCTCGGCCGACCTCAAAGGAAGGGTCTGATGAGCTCGCCCTCTCCCTCAAATCGGATTTTGGACCACTGTGAGGGGGGGGGGAGCAGCAGCACGAAGGGGACAGACACCTCACGCGCTGTGTCTTGGCGTCGAGCGAGGGGGGAAAGTGAGAAGGAGAAGGTCTTCTCAGAAGGTGGCGGGACTTCTCAGAAGCCCTCACGCCTTTGAGAAGTTTTCGGTGTCTTCGAAGAAGGCTTAGAAAACTTCTCAGAACGTTTGGGGACTTCCGAGCCTTCTGAAAAGGCCCTTCTCACTTCCCCACCGGGCTCGCCGCCGAGAGAAACAGCACCAGGGGGACAGACACGTCGCAGGCTGTGTCAGTCCCTGGCGAGTGGGGGTCGGCGGATTTGATGCATGCTCAGTGTCTCGGTTGTCGCTCGCTGCTACCTGCCCCTGAATGCGGATCAGTGAGCGCCAGTGCCTTACACATGTTTTCCCGCTGGGGCGCGAATCTTAATACGCTGATAGATACCCCTCGTGGCTCGTGGAAAGCATGGAGAGTTTGCTATGTCGGCATGGTCAGAGCGTGGGAGGAATTAGTTTGGAGTCTGGCGTGGTCATGGTTGAATTGGAGTATCTGGGTCAGATGTGTGCGGACCCACTCGTTTTGCAAACTATGAGAGCAGTTAATGTTAGCGAGCACCATATTGCGAAGGACCGATCTTATTTCCAGGCTGCGCATTTTTCGGCAGCTTGCGTGATGATGTTTGACTTGGGGTGCCCGTGTAAGTTTCATGCGGGCCCAAGCTTTCCGCAACCTATGAGAGCAGGTCATGTGACCGCAAACCATACTGCAGAAGGAACGCTCGCACATCCAGGCGGCGCATGGTTTGGCAGCTCGCGTGATGACTTTTGAATTGGAGTATCCGAGTAAGCTCCATGCGGACTCAATCTTTCCGCAAGATCTGAGAGCAGGTAAAATGATAGAGGACTGTATTGCAAGTGATTGGTCCCGCATCTAGGCTGCGCATTGTTCGGCAGCTCAAGTGATAATGTTTGATTTGCAATTACGGAGTGAGCTTTGCACTGGTCCAGCGTTTCCGCAAACTTTGAGAGCAGGGAATTTGACAGACGACCAGATAACAAGGGGCTGGTCTCACATCCAGGAGGCTGCGCACTGCTCGGTTGCTCGCGTGATGATGCTTGAATTGGAGTATCCGAGCGAGCTCCGTGCGGACTCAAACTTTCCGCAAGATCTGAGAGCACGTGACATGACCGAAGACCGGATTGTAAAGGAGCGGCCATACTCCCCAGCATAACAACAGGATTCGGAGTCAAAGTTGCACGGCCTGCCCACGTTGCTTCCACCCCCGCCCCTCTACCACCTCCACGCTCCCCATCCCTCTCCTCAGTCGTTCCTTCTCCCCCCGTCCTCCCCCTCTCCGCCCCTTCCCTCCCCTTCCTCCTTCCCCCCTCCTCCTTGCTCCCATCTCCTCCCCCTCCTCCCCCATCCTCCTTCCCCTACTCCCACCCTCCTCCTCCCCGCCTCCCCCTCTCCCCCTCCTCCCTCTTTCTCGTCCTCCCCCTTCCCCCTCCTCCTCTCCCCCTTCACCCCTTCCACCTCCATCTCCACCGTCTCTCCTCCGCCCCCCTTCCCAGTAACTCAAGGGGTACCCCCTCCTTGTGCTCATGCGCCACGGGCGCGCACTCTCGCAGGTTTTGCTGCCCTAGACCAGCTCGCAAAGGAACGGTCGCCGTCACATCCAGGCTGCGCACTGCTCGGTTGCTCGCGTGATGATGCTTGAATTGGAGTATCCGAGCGAGCTCCGTGCGGACTCAAACTTTCCGCAAGATCTGAGAGCACGTGACATGACCGAAGACCGGATTGTAAAGGAGCGGCCATACTCCCCAGCATAACAACAGGATTCGGAGTCAAAGCTGCATGGTCACATCCAGGCTGCGCACTGTTCGGCAGCTCGCGTGATGATGCTTGAATTGGAGTATCCGAGTGAGCTCCGTGCGGACTCAATCTTTCCGCAAGATCTGAGAGCTGAGCAGATGATGCATCCGAATATCAGGTTTCAGTTGTACGGCCTCACGCCAAGTCTGTGGGAGAGATTTGCAAATTGTAGCACGCTGACTGCGGCAACGCGGTGTGCGAGGAGATCCGGAGTCAGTTCTGCACGGTCTGCTGGCAGCGTATTCGGTTCTCGACGGTCGTAGGACCAGTTTGCAGAGCGAGCCAGTTAGCGGGTTCTCCTCCCTCTTCTCGTTGTTTTTCTCCTCCTTCTCTTCCGCTTCCTCTTCTCTCCTCAGACTCCTGAGTCATGATGAGGGTGCCGATGCGCAGCCGCACCAGGATGAGTGTTGTTGAAACAGATCATCAGGAGCATGACTATGCGAGCTAGAGCTTCTCGCAAGATCTGAGAGCGAGAGCCATACCAGCAACTGATGACGTCGTTTTCATTATTCCCAGCGCAGGTAGCAAACACGGGGTATAATTTCATGCTGTCGTTTTCGACTGGGCCAGGCCGTCGGCTCGGTTTGAGGTTTGACAGCCCAGATGACTTGCCGTCGAGGTGGATCTAATGCTTTCCACGACAACTTAGAGCAGGCTTTGCGCGATTGCTTTGCAATTCGTGACGCTTCGCATATCCAAATCTCATCCAGAAATGATCCTCAGGCGAGTTGCACTGATCAGGGGAAAAATCAGCATGCGTTGCTCAGGAGGGGGCTTTGGGGCCCTCTTTGGGTTCGTCCATTTTGGAAACCCTGGGAGCGCGCTTGGGGCTATCTTGGAGGGCGTCGTCAAGACAGGGGGGGTCTTCATTAGCTTTGCCTTGCCGGAGCCTGGACAATCGCCTCTTGGAGCCCTCTCGGGACGCTCTTGCGGCGATGATGGGCGCTTTTTGGGCCGTCTTGGCGCCTTCGTGGCCCCTCTGGGGGCCCTGCCGGGGACCCCAGAGCTATCTTGGGGCCTCAGAATCCGGGGCCTCTTAGACCTTGGGCGAATTTGGTCCGTCTTGCGCCATTCTGGGGGCTGCCTGAAGACGTCTGGGACCATCTTTGAGTGATCTTGGTCCACCAGCTTCCCACGGATGTCCCCGAGAGGGCAACACCAGTCAACGACTTGTAGGTTTCCTAACTCTCCTGTGGAGCTGGGTCCTCGTTTTGAATCTGCAGCGCCGCGTCCCACCTTCTCACCTCCTCTCTCTCCTCATCCCCCCCCCCTCCCCCTCCTTCTCCTCCCCCCTCCCCCTCCTCCCCCTCCTCCTCCTCCTCCTCCTCCTCCTCCTCCTCCTCCTCCTCTTCCGCCTCCCCCTCGCACCCGCCCTTTCTCAGAAGCAGCAATCTGCTTACCATGACCGTCATAACCAGGCATCCTGTCGCACCCCTCACACGTTTCGTGGCCCACTGGGGAGCTCCACCTGCGGCCCCAGTGAGGGTGCCTGTATGGCGTGACCGCCTCAGGCACCTTTCACGCGTGCCGTGGCCCCGAAGGGAGTCATAACGGCCCCAGCGAGGGCGCCCCTATTGCGTGACTGCCTCACTTCGGCGCACCCCTCGCACGTGTCGTGGCTCCATACGAGCTCCAGCTGCGGCCACAGTGAGGGCGCCCATAGAGCGTGACCTCTTCATTCAGTCACACGTTTCGTGACCCCATAAAGGGGCTCCACCTACATGGCCCGAGCGAGGGCGCCAGTATAGCGTGACCGCCTCATTTTGGCACACCCCTCCCTCACCTGTTTCGCCGCCTCATATGGGGGGCTCCACTTGCGGCCCCAGTGAGGGCGCCCGTATCGTGTGACCGCCTCATTTCAGCACACCCCTCACCCGTGGTGTGGCCCCAAAGGGAGCTCCAGAAATGGGCCCAGTAAGGGCGCCCGTATTGCGTGAACGCTTCCGTTTTCGCGTTGCGTGTTTTCATACCCTAGCCTTTACTCTTGCACCCTTTTAATTCTTCTCATCACTTTCCAGTGGCAGGATAAGTGTTTGCTGAACCCTCAGGTGCACGCTCGCAATAATCACTTGAGTTGTGTCTGTTTATTTAATCGCTTCGCTCATTCCGCCGGCCCTCGAACGCTCTATGGGGCCTCTTTGAAGCCTGTTGGGGGCCTCTTTGGGGCCTCCTAGGGGCCTCTTGGGGGCCTCTTGGGGGTCTGTTGGGGCTCCTTGGCGGCGTCTTGGGGCCCCCTTGGGCCTCTTGGGGGTCTCTTGGGGGCCTCTTGGGGCGGGGTAGTCGAGTGCACCCCCCTTGGAGGCCACGATCCTCGTGAGGGGTGTCGAAAAAAGGCCCTCAAAACCATCTCTGGGTAGACTTGGTCGGGCTGCGGTCGGGATACTTTGCGCCGGGGGACCTCCATGGGCCGCCCCGCGCGCGCGAACTAGATTATTTTATTTATTTAATCGCTTCGCTCATTCCGCTGGCCCGTATTGTGCCATCGCAGGCGTTTGCTTGCGCGTTCGTGGCCTCTTGGAGCCTCGTTGGGGCCGGGCCTCTTGGCGCCTCTTTTTAGGCCTTTTGGAGAACTCGGGAGGCCTCCAGGGGGCCTCCTGAGCTCTCGTGACGGT